CATAGAGGACAATATTTTGGAAAAAGGTCAGCTTATTACAAGTTAGAATGTTGTACATATGATAGTTCAAAGATCACAAATGTTTCTGAACAAAGAGTGCTAAAAATACAACTTTAACATCGCATGTTCGAAGGACTATAACTCAACCAATATTAATCAATTTTAAATGAATTCTGAACCTAACTTGTAGCTAACACAAAGGAGAATATGCATAAAAAAAATTTCATATCATTCCAAGCTAGTATGATAGAGATATGATAGTTCAAATATTACAAAAAAAAATGGCTGAAATATTTGATTCAAGCATTTTAACAAACATTTGGCGGGCAAAATCATATTCATAAATCTTTATACTCCATTTGAGTACCAGACATACATACTAGTGATAAACAACATAAACTACAAATCTTTATTTTAATGCGCACACCTCGTCCGTCATTCAGATCATTGCAGTAGTTCAGAAAGTTATATCTACTTTTTATATCTCAAATCACAACCAGCAAAAAATTTAAATGATTTCTAGCGGTCAGGAGAAGCAAATAAGAACAGAAAAACAAAACGGAGAACGAAATTGATGTGCAATTTATCTAAATTTACACATAAGCAAATGAAGTCGCAGGATAACACGGAGAATTCAAAACAAATCAGTAGCTAAAACCTAAAATCGCTAACCTCAAGAGGACTGCTGCAACAAGGACTAAAATCCGGCGATGATGAGGCCGATCGAGATTCGCGAAGACATTATGAACCAATGGGATACCTTTATAAATCTCCTGGTAAGGCTACCAGGTACCATTTTAGATTTTACCCCTTCATATTGGTAAGAGGTGGAATCAAACCGACCATGCATTAGGCGGTGGTGTAGAAGGGAACAATCAAGAATATAGAAGGAATATTAAAGTAACCCCGATCGATAAACAATACTGAGTTAGCTACTCTGCAAAAACAGGTTGTGTTGAATGGAAAATGGGTGAAGGGATTGACGGCAATTGTAATTTTCAAGCGTAGGGTTTTTTGGGTTTGACTTTGATATCCCATATTTAAAGGGATGACAAATATATTAATTATCTACCATATTTAAATATGTCAAGATTACTATAATACCCTTAAATAATTTATTTAAAGATTTATTATTTCCTAAATTCTCATTGGTACACACAGGCACACAATAATTATCAAAAACATTTGAACCTATAAATATATATATATATATATATATATATATATATATATATATATATATATATATGGGAAAAGTGAATATACCCTTAAGGGTATATAAGCTTAGGTACCCAAATTCATCATAGTATATCGTTTTGTATCATATATATATATATATATATATATATATATATATATATATATATATATATATATATATATATATATAGATTGTAATAGTCCAATATTCTTATAATTCAACTTCTAACATTATTTACTTCCAAGATTTTTATAAATTTCACATTTATCTTCCTTTTACATAATTTTCATTTTCAACTATAATATATACATAGTTTAGTAGGTGTTTGGCAAAAAGATGAGATGTAAGAGAAAGATAATGGTGATATTTTGAAAATCCTAAACATAATTCAAGTTAGAGATTGAAATTTAAGAAAAATATAATGAATATATCAAACAAAACGATGTATTATGGTGGGTTTGGATACCTAAGCTTATATACCCTTAAGGGTATATTTACTTTTCCATATATATATATATATATATATATATATATATATATATATATATATATATATATATATATATATACACTAAAATTTGTTTAAAATGTATAGAGTAAATTACTGAAATCGTCCCTGTGGTTTGGTCAAAATTGCACGTTGTATGCCTAATTTTTTTTTGCACTCGGATCGTCCCTGTGGTTTGATTTTGTTGCGTTTTTCGTACCTGTGGTTTGATTTTGTTGCATTTTTCGTCAATTACATACATAAAGTTAGGGACTAAACATACAATTTTTACCAAACCATAGGGATGAAAAACGTAACAAAATCAAACCATAGGGACGATCAAAATGAAAAAAAAAATAAATTAAGGACCAAACGTTTAATTTTGATCAAACCACAGGGATGATTTCAGTAATTTACTCATATACAATTAAAATACTAAAAGTAACAAAATATTATCATGTGAACCAAGCATATATCGGTTGTTATTTTCATTTTCAATTCATGTTTTCTAAATAAACAAGTTCAAGATCGCACTAATCCTCTCCAATTGGGTTGCATGAGAAAAAGATGATTAAGAAAATTCATTTAAGTGTTCCCACATACCAGAGTATGACACATGCATTGTTTTAAAATTAAATTTGTTTAAAATAATCAGTGTCGCTTTTTGTATGTTTTTGGAAAATAAAGTAAAAATGGGAGTTTTATATGACCGTAAGAGTTTTATATGACCGTAAGGAGTTTTAATTAGCATCCAAATATATGTGAAAGATAATATTATAAATACATATTTGACGTGTGAAAGAACGTTATTTCTTTTCTACTTCTTTAATTTATATGTTTATTCGTTTTTTGTTTTGGAGTTTTACCACGTGATAAAATGTATCGTTTACCTTTTGGAACTTTTTTAACATATGATATATTACTGAAATTACTGAAGGCTAAAGTACTTTATATATTCATTACCCATTAATTTCATTTTTTTTTTTTTTTTGTTTTAAAGTTGGTTTTATCATTTACGTTCAGATCAGATGGTAATAGAAACATTACAGTAAACAGAAAGAATGTTAGCAATCGAGTTTGTAAGTTTATGTTGGTAAATACAAATAATGCATTTTCAATTTAAAATATATGCACTTAATAAAGTTCAATTTATAAATAAAATCACCAGTACAAACACATACAAACAAAATAAATTATGATAATACCTAATAGACACAGAAACCATATTCCTTCGAAATTTCATGTATAGCAGTCTGAACCATTAAATGCGTTAAATATTAGTATTCAAACAATATAAAATCAAATAATGCTCTATCATTTGACTCCACTTACCAAGAGGTAACCCAAAGCTCGCAGAGACTCCTTATGGAAATGAAAACAAGTCAAATATATAAAGCTCGTTTATTGAATAGTTCAAAGCTCAGCTTGAGATAAAATAAATGTCAACCCAAATAATTGTCCGAGTAACTCTTGAGAACGAGCGCCTAAAAAAAGTAGAATGTGGCCTAGTTGCCTTGGAAGCGTTTACAAGTGTTTTAATATACAAATTACTGGCATATTCTTTTGGTGTTAGTTGCTATTTATACCTCTCAGCTTCACAGTGTAACATCCGGAATCCCAAGTATATTATTTAAATATTTATTTTTGGATTATGTGAAGGAACTCGGCGAGTTGATGCGTAGACTCGCCGAGTAGGGTCGTGGTTGATCATCCGGGTTCGCATTGGACTCGGCGAGTCCATGAGTGGACTCAGCGAGTCCACGCTGTTTAATTAAACCTTAATCCTCCGAGGTTGGAGCCTATTTAAGGGCACTCTTAGCCTTCCATTGCGGCTACCAGTCCCTTGAGAGCACCCTTAGTGATCTATATCGTTTGAGAGGAAGGAGAAGCCATAATTGATCTTTCTATCCTTGGTTTGGCAAAAAGAAGGTGATCAAGAGCAAGAGGAGGCTGAAGGAGGTGTGATTCAAGTGGTTTCAGAGTCCAGAGACTACAACTTGAGGTATTCATTCGGACCTTCTTCAGTTTTGGTATTGAACTTAGAGATTAGGGTTTTCTAACCTCTTGTGAGGATGTTTATGTGGAACAATTGGTCCCTTATCGAATCTATGCTTTGGATCTGGACTCAAAGAGGTCCAGAGACTTCAATCCATTAAGCTTTATGAGTCCTTGTGGGGTGATTGGACTTAGGTTGCCTTTTTTGGGACTAAATCACCATTTGATGCCATTATGTATATTTATAAGCATCAAGATTCGAGCTTTACGTGATTATATTGCTTGGGAAGGTCAGATCTATGGATTTGAGGAACGGAACTGACCTCAGGAGGTCAATAAAACATGTGCATGGCATGTACTCGCCGAGTTGTTCTTGGGACTCAGTGAGTTGAGTCAGGGTAGCCCCGTGATTCTTGGCTGGGGACTCGTCGAGTAAAGGGAGGGACTCGACGTGTTAAGTGGGACTAAGGAGTTAAGTGGACACATGTGGACTCGCCGAGTTGCCCAAGCGCACTCGCCGAGTCGGGTCAAAGGTTGACCGTTGACTTTGGTTAACTTTTAGGGTTTGGTTAGCAGTAAGGCCTTTTGAGCCAGAAGAGGGGTAAAATGGTCTTTTACCCTTCTGAGGAAAAGTGGGAGTATAGTAATATTTATGGGAGTATTTGTTTTATGTGTTTAGGTGAAGGCTAGATCATATTTCTACCGAGTCAGTGATTTACCGAGATATCAAAGGTGAGTCTTCTCAGTATACTGTACCTGGAAAGGGTACCTATGTGTGACCGGAAGGCCGGATATGCTATATGATATATGTAATGTGTGTGATTAATTACCCGTTTGGTATGTGCTATGTATGTTATGCTTGATATGGGCCGGAAGGCATTATGTTATGGGCCGGAAGGCATTGTGATGTGGACCGGAAGGTCGACGCGGGTAGGACCGGAAGGTTTACCGGGTTGGGATGGAAGTCCCCTGAGACACATGGACCGGAAGGTCATGGCCTGGAAGGGCGTACGTGTGTAGGTGGTATTTTGGGGAACTCAGTAAGCATTTATGCTTACAGTTGTTGTGTTATGTGTTTCAGGTACGAGCGAGGACCGTGGGAAGGCGCCATCATGATCTGTACACACTAATGAAAGATTTATTTTATGATCTTGGGATGTATTTTATTATGATGATATTTGCTAAACATGAGACTTAAGAATATTATATGATGGTTTATATTGTTTGAGAAACGAAAAATTGTTTTGAAAATTCACGTTGTTACACACAGCCAAAAGCATAACCTCCCTCCCTCAACCTCATCCTCTCTAACTACCGATGAACCATGAGAGTTACCACCGGGGCCCCGTTCAGGCATTAACCTTCTTTGGCGTTGCTAACCTTATAGTTGTCTCAGCTGATCCTTATATCTATTCTTCACCACCACCACCATATATGTACAAGTCTCCACCACCACCGATGCATTCACCACCACCATCCTATTTGTACAAGTCTCCACCACCACCGGTGCATTCACCACCACCGCCATATCTTTAAAAGTCCCCACCACCACTAGTGCATTCTCCACCACCACCATATTTGTACAAGTCTCCACCACCACCGGTGCATTCACCATCACCACCATATCTTTACAAGTCCCCACCACCACCGGTACATTCACCACCACCACCATATTTGTACAAGTCTCCACCAGCACCGGTGCATTCACCACCATCACCATATTTGTACAAGTCTCCACCTCCACCGGTGCATTCACCACCACCACCATATGAATACAAGTCTCCTCCTCCCCTAGTTAAGTCACCACCACCACCATACTACTACAAGTCTCCACCTCCATCGGTGCATTCACCACCACTAACATATTTGTACAATTCTCCACCATCGCCAGTTAAATCACCACCACCACCATACTACTACAAGTCTCCTCCTCCTCCTGTGCATTCTCCACCACCACCTTACTACTACAAATCCCCACCACCACCAACAAAGTCTCCCCCACACTATTACTACAGTTCTCCACCACCACCACCAAAATCCTACTACCCCGTACCTTACACTCATCACAAGAAACTCATCATAAAGGTAGTCGGCAAAGTTTACTGCTACAGTTGCTATGACTGGAAATACCCAATCTAATCACACGCCAAGCATCACCTCAAAGGTACAAACTTTAGTTTCTCGCACTATCTTAAATGTTTTATATATATGAATTGATGTGTATACATGTTCTTTGATGGTTGACCCATGTTCTATGTTTCTGGTTTTCCACATCAAAATGAAAGATATGTATATTTCTCATAAAATGAAGCTCTAATTTTCTAAACTTTTATTTTTGAGTTAACTTGTCAAGACATATAATCGAATATTGATTTCTTATTATACTATATAAATTATAATACTTCAAAAAAAAATAATGAATATATCAGGTCTCAACATATTCTTTTTATGATAAGCTACATTATAAGTTATATATTTTTTATTATTTTGTATAACATTAGTTAATTATATTTATTTAATTTAAGTATTTAAACCCAAAATCATATCATGCATAGCATAACATGTTCTAATTTTATAGTAACCGACATATTAGAAAAGGTGAACCAAAAAATATACATGAAGTTGACTTTTATTTTTATTTCTGTTGAAAAACGTGTTTTTGTCGAAACTACTTGCAAGGCTGTTGGCCATAAATAAATTTTTGCATATGGAAAGACTAAGATCAATGGCAAATATGCAATTACTGTTGAGGGTTTAGACTATTCCAAATATGGAGGAGCAAAATCTTGTACCGCTAAGCTTCATATGGCACCAAAGGGAACTAAATCTAATATTCCAACAAATCTTCATGGTGGTTTGAAGGGTGCCATGCTAAATCTTAAATCCAAAAATGCTTATGAAGCTGTCCTTGAGGCTGAACCATTTGCATGTGCTCCTAAGACTCCTTCTACGCTTTGTGAGAAGCCAAAACCAAAACCAGAACCCACTCCTTCTCCATATTATTACAAATCTCCACCACCACCGACACCTACTTACTTGTACAAGTCCCCCCTCCACCCGTTAAGTCTCCTCCAGTATATCACTACACATCACCCCCACCCCCTAAGAAATCACCACCTCCTCCATACCACTACACATCACCCCCACCACCTAAGAAATCACCACTTCCCCCATACCATTATACATCTCCTCCCCCACCGGTTAAATCTCCACCACCACCGTACCACTACACTTCCCCACCACCACCAGTGAAGTCTCCTCCCAAGTACCACTATACATCACCCCCACCACCTAAGAAATCACCACCTCCCCCATACTACTACAAATCACATCCACCACTGGTTAAATATCCACCCCCACCTTACCATTACACTTCACCGCCACCACCAGTGAAATCTCCACCACCACCATACCATTACACTTCACCACCACCATCGGTAAAGTCACCACCCCTAACTTATCACTACACATCACCTCCACCACCGGTGAAATCTCCACCACCGCCATACCATTACACATCACCTCCACCAACAGTGAAATCGCCTCTGCCACCATATCACTACATTTCACCACCTCCACCCGTGAAATCTCCACCGCCACCATACCATTACACTGCACCTCCCCTACCTGTAAAATCCCCTCCACCGCCTTACCATTACACATCACCACCACCACCGGTGAAATCTCCACCCCCACCATACCAATACAATTCACCTCCTCCACCGGTAAAATCCCCACCACCACCATACCACTACACATCACCACCACCCCCCGTGAAATCTCCACCGCCCCCGTACCACTACAGCTCACCTCCACCACCAATTAAGTCACCACCACCACCATACCACTATACATCACCACCACCACCGGTTAAATCCCCACCACCACTTTACTATTATACATCACCTCCACCACCCATGAAATCTCCACCTCCTCCATACCATTACACCTCACCACCACCACATGTTAAGTCCCGACCACCACCATACCATTACACCTCACCTCCTCCACCTACAAAATCCCCACCACCACCATACCACTACACATCGCCTCCTCCACCAGTTAAGTTTCCACCACCACCATACCATTATTCTTCACCTCCACCACCAGTTAAGTCCCCACCACCACCATACCACTACACATCACCTCGACCGCCTGTGAAATCTCCCCCATCTCCATACCATTACACCTATCCCCACCACCAGTTAAGTCTCCACTACCACCATACCGCTATACATCACCTCCACAACCAGTTAAATCCCCACCTCCACCATATCACTACGCCTCTCCCCCACCACCAGTTAAGTCACCATCACCACCATACCACTACGCATCACCTCCCCTACCAGTGAAATCTTCACCACCTCCATACCATTACACATCACCACTACCACCCGTTAAGTCACCACCACCTCTATACCACTACATATCTCCACCTCCACCAGTAAAATCACCTCTTCAACCTGTATACATCTATGGTTCTCCTCTACCCCCAACTAATAATTAGACTCCCATAACTTTGTTATTTGCAAGATACAACCATGTAAGTATCTTTTTTTATTTCTTTTCTATATCATGAAACATTCCCAACATTATAAGAAAATTTTAAATGCTATGACACATCCATAAAAACTTCATATCTATTGATGTAGGTTTTATTTTTCATACGAGTTTCATAAAGAAGGTTCCTTAAGGAGATGATTGACAATTTGTTCTTCCACAACCATTTCATTGTAATAAGCTCTTAAACATTGCACCACACATCATCAATCTTTTTGTTTCAACCATTTCCTTTCGACATCGCCGCTGTGGCTCATCTTATCCTTGAAAAATCGCTCGAAGGATTATATATTTGAAATGCAAGAAAATGTTCAATTGTTTATCGCCAGAAAAGGGTGATAAGAGTATTGTGGAACTAATATATTTTCTTTTCATGTTTCATATTTATATTGTATAAATGGATAACTAATGGTTATTTTATATTTATATATTATTGGTTTAATCTTCTCATTCCCTTTTTTTGGAGTTGTATACTGTTGGAGATTTGGTCATTACACAACATATTGTTAACGCAAATTAATTACATGATCCTATATGGGTTACCCACTTGAACCAAGATAAAAACATTTACAAATAAATAAAGAGGGAATCATTCATTATTTAATGAGTGTTAATAAATAATTGGGACTTATTGTCATTTGGTAAAGTGTTAATTAATATTTAGAAATTAATTGGTGGAAAATAAATAATTATGCTTAAGATACTTATATAAATTCTTTGAATAATTAATAGATAATTCTAAAGGATAACCATTAATGAATAAAATAATATTATCCTTGATTCAAATTTGGACATGATAAGATTTCCAACAACTATATAAAAGGAGCAAGCATAAGGGGTTCAAGGATCTATTTAAAACCTTAAAGTTGTCCTCCCTTTTCCTTCTCCACATTTCCTCATCTCTGGGAAACAATCTAAAGAATACACAAGTTTCATGGTGGTCAAAATTCTCAAGTTCCCAAAGCTAGGGTTCTTGGTTTTTTGTTGGTAAGGGGTATGTCGTTGTCAAAAGGCTCTTATTTGACTTCCTCAATATTCTTCACATGTACTAAAAACATTAAGGTTATGGTTTCTATTAATAGATATAATCATGATTTAGTATTTAATCAATATGTTACCAATTTAAATGTTTATGTTCTTTTCTCTTTAATTAACTACTTTCTTATGAAGAAGAACACGTTATTATTCGATAATAGTATCAAAGCCTTTGATAATTATAATATCACTTAGAAATAATTTTGGGAAATTTAATGTCTGTGATCATGTACATATTGTTTGGGAAAGTGTGTGTAAAAAATATACACAAGGGTTTCATGTTCCATGATGATACATCAATAACGATTTTGTTTTGAATACAAAGTGTTTGTTTCCATTTTATTTTTATTTTCTTATAATTTTGGTTGTATTTTTTAGCATGAACTCATACAATAAAAACCATGAACCTGATGGGTTTTACATGTAATAATGCGGATAAATCCTTATACACTTAAGGGTACATGCAACCTATTAGATCTAGTCATAACTCTATTGAAGTAAAATTCTATTGAACAACAAACTCTATAACCCTAGGTAATTTCGAAATTATAAGAACTACATACCTTTGTGATTGTTGTAGTAAAAAAATCAAACAATCCTTCTTGAAACCACTTGGAAGCTAGCATTAGAAATCTCGTGTCTTTGATTGTTCACTCCTAACCCTAGCACCCTAGAAACTAGTAGAATTTAAGAGAGAAAAGAGAAGAGAGTGGGGAGTAAAAAAATTTCTTCGCCTTGAGGAATAGGGATGACATAAATTTAGAACCCAATTAAGGGTTTTTATAGTTGATCAAAGGAGCTAGGGATAAGGCAGGTTCCTAAGATAAGCGCTAATCCCTTAACTTCTTCCCTAAGGCACCCATGACACCTTTTAATGCCCAAGGAAACCCTAGAAGACCTCTACAATTCGTTCCCCCTCTTAAGGAGGTTCTAGAATTGGTCAATGTTCATTATTTTGAACATTGTCACCTTTAGTCCTTCCACTTTTAATTATTCAAATTAATCCCAAAATTAATTCCAGTTAATTTCTGATTAATTTATAACTAAACAAAATAATTTCCAATTAATATAATAAATTAATAAATTGTTTATTTTTATTTCAAGTTAATTTATTAATCACATAATAAATTAATAAATCAGTATCTCTCTCTTTTTCTCTTTCTCTCTTTCTTTCTCTCTCTCTCTCTCTCTATATATATATATATATATATATATATATATATATATATATATATATATATATATATATATATACAAATCATCCTTTTCAATTACTAGGTTTGAGAGCAACCCAAAAAGACTTTGCTAATAATTCAAAATTATACTAATTTAGTTATTGGCTTAAACACTTATTCCAATAGAACCGTGTTTATCAATGCAACATATTAGCAAAGATTGTTTTGTAAATTATTTATTTACCACATTTATCAAAATAATGCTACATTTCATTATATGGATATGGTAAATTTATTGAATAATTTGGACCTGTGTTTATGATGTCTTGAGTTGTTTAGCTTATTTAAATTGGTTTACTCGCGACTTTCATGATGTTCTTTGTAATGTACTTTTCTTTTGTAATTGTAATAGACATTACATTAGTTAGGAAAATGTTTCAAATTACAATTTATAGATAAATAAAGATCAAAGTCAACAAAGAAAGGTCTCTAGTAGTTCACGTCATGAGAGAGTTCCATTAGAGTATCGGGTGTAGATGATAGTACAATTGGGAGCCATGCATCATTGTGGTTGTTTGTCCCTAGAATGACATAGTTTTTCCTTACGATGGCTCACTAGATAAATGAATTTGGACTGAGACAATGGTTACGTTACTTGCATGTGAGTTGTGTTATTTAATGTTTTCTCTAGGATTGTGTGACGAGGAAATGTTTTGACAAAAATGATAATTTATAAAATGGTTTTATAAATAATTTAAAGTGCTCTAAAGATAATTTTGTCAATACAGAGTCAAAACTGCTTTATCTGAACAAAGCAAAATCCCATTTTCAAATATAAATCCTATACTACCCATTTTTAATACACACTTATTATAAGGGCTTCATGTGTGGGAAAGTACATACATTAGTTGTTAGGAGAGTGAAGTGTTGTTTATGATACCCAAAAGCCTTGGGTTAGATGAAACATATGGTTCAAACGGATGATTTTTTGTCTTAGCTTATGATTGGTAGAAAATGATGGGTTTTATAGGTTACAAAAACTAGGTTCTTGCAAAATTTCACTTAATACTTAAGGGAACATGCAACCTAAAAGGATCTATATCGTACACTTTGAATGCAATATACGTGAATAAAAAAACTAGATAAACCCTAATATAATCAAAATACAATACAAAATTAGAGTTACATGCCTTTGATTTGTTGCAGAAAACAAATCACTTCAATCCTTCATTTGAAGAGCTTGAAAAAGTAGCACCAAAAGAATGATGCATCTAATGGCTCACACCCAAGCACTAGAACTAGACGAAAAGTGAGGAGAGAGGAGGATATGTAAATTTTCGTTCATATGCCTCTAGGAAAGAGTATGCACGAAATTTGCAAGAGAAGGGGTCCAATTTATTGTTTAAGTAACTTGCAGACAAAAAAAAATTGAATTGATAAAATATTCTATTTAACCCTAATTCAAATCGTTTCCTTTTGTGCAAGCAGGCGGCTTTCAAAAACCCTAGAAGAGCTCCCAAAACCCTACATGCTTGGATGGTTCTAGAATTATTTCTTTTGTTCAACTATTAAAGAATTACAATTCACCCCTTGCACTTTTAATTAATTACAATTAATCCCAGATTTATTCTAGATTTATTTTGATTAATAACTAATCAACTCTAACTGCTTTCATATTAATTTATTAATCATCTAAATTATAAAAATTAATCATTTAACAATTTCTATCATATAAATTTATTAATCACATAATCAAGTAACCAAAAGTAGGGGATTGTTTGCGTTATATAACTATGAAAAACACAATTTCATCAAATGACCACGACTTCCACAGAGAGGGGCTCTACGGAAGTCCATACACTCTGACGAATCAGACATGTGGGGAAAAAGGCAAAAAAGTGATTTTACATCGTTCCGTAGAGACGTGCTCTACGGAAATAACCATGACTCTGCGAAACCAATGTATTGCTCTGAGGAAATGGTAGATGAAGACATCAATTTTTTTTTGACATTTTCACAGAGCTGGTCTTCACAGAAAGATGTACTATTTATAGGGAAATGGTTGTTGGAGCGGTTTTGAACATTAATGACTTTTTTTTGTTTTTTAATGGTATTATCAGTATTTTAGCATTCTTACTAACTATAAACCTTTTTTTCATTTTTGTGAATTTTTTTTACTCTAGAACTCGTTTTTTCATTATCTATGCAGAGAGTGTTCCGAAATAAAGAGTTTTATTATTCTGTGTACGAGAGGGTTGTAGTTATCGATTAATAGAAATGAGGTTTCCGTTAGAAATAATGTTAAAAACTTTGGTTTAAATCTTCCTCCTAACTGTAACCATCAGATGTTATTACGAATGGTTACAAATAAGGCAAGTGTGTTCAATAGTCATATATCTTTGTCTTTTAAACACCAAGACTGTGGGTATGCCATGGAGATTGCAGATGAATCAAATGTATTTCATCTGAGACATGTAATTTCTAAAACAAAGAAGACAGTGCATTTGTATTTGTCGGTGCTTGATGAAAAAGTTGATGAACAGACGGTGGTGAAGTTTCAGAACAACGAGTTTATTGGAGAA